TCGTGTCTGCTTATTGATGAAAAACATTGAATTATCAATTAATGCCGAGGTTAACAGAAAGTCGGTCATGGGAATTACTAGGTGGAGATATAATCTAAATCTCTTGTTTGAAGCTAAACAAAATTTTAAGCGTTTTGCCCGAGGTTTAACACTTTTCGATAAGCAACTTACAGTTTCGAGTTGGCTGTTTCTTAATCTGCTACTCATGTGAGAAATGGATTTTGTCCGGAACGTTTTTGCTACTATTCCTAGGTGATGGTGAACGCTCCTTTAAAGCTTGTGCTTGAATCGGTTCTTTGAAAGAGATCGGTGTTCTTGTACAGTACAGGATAATGGCGCTAAGAAAGCACCAAAGATGTACCATTCTTTGTTTGTGAGGATGTGGTCGATCTCCGCACGAATCGTGCTGTTCGTCGACTCCTATGTCCAGAGGCGATTATCATCTTTTTTTAAGAGATTTAATTTCTATGGAAGACACGTGCGGTGGACGGGGATCCAGCAAGACGGTTTTTATTCTAATTTTGATCTTCCATACGACATTACCATATTCTTTTTTGGTCGACTTTATTAATCTGGAATTCAAGCCTCCTATAAAAGTATAAAAACGGACTTAATTTTAGAGGGATAGTTTCTCGAGCTGACGGTAGAATACATCTAATTCGCGCTTATCACTTGCAAGGGTCGCTGTCTCTCAACTGATGATAGTGACATTGTTACTACACATAAGTCGGAAAAGGAAAAAAGCCAAGCAAGGGTCTCGTATGGATCGACAAAACAAGTTATGGAGGAGGTATGCCACGACGCCTGCACCACCGACATTACGTGAAATAATCTTCATCCACGAGTTGCAAAGGTTATATCACCCACGTGGTCTATATTGGTTTTCCTACCCTTAGAACGGCGTGGAGATTGGCATTTGAGACCTTCATGGTAGTATATGTACAGAGCAAAAATCAGTTTACATGGAGGATCTTTGGCATGTTAGCTTTACCCAATTCAAACGTCGTTCTTTCTAACCCGAGACTTATTCAATCCTGACTCTCTCTGTCAATGTTTAACGTCAAAGTCGATAGCACTCAGTGTGTGGTACCAAGATGTGTTTTGGTGTGTTTTTCCTTAGAGTTTTGACGTAGCCTTGCTAGGGTATTTTCGGGTCTTTACCACTATCAGACGCTGGCCATTGTGGATCGGTGGAGAGCTTTGTGTCTTTAATGTCGACTCCTTCGATTAGCCGTCCTACTATCGCTTGCTAACGATGTAGCAATGTCTTAAATCACTGATGTCTCAGTTCATACATGTCTTAAATCACTGATGTCTTAGTTCATGATAGCAACTCCAGTGGGTGAAACCATTAAATAGCTCAGGACTGAAGAAATGGTGCTGGAGAAGTTGAAATGCAGGGAATCAACGGCTATGTTAACAGATGCACTTCAGAATTCCACCGAATGTTGAAGAATGTAGGACCTTAAGTCACAAGCATATTCTTCCCAAGCACTGCATTTGTTTGTATACAAACTAAACTTTATCTCGAAAATAAACAAATCTATAAATGTAGGGGCTTCTATGAAGTATTCCTGTTAATCAAACAGATTTATTACCCTACGGGTGCATTGCTACTAAGAACGAGGCGACCCCTGGTTGGTCTGCTTAATGGAAATCTTGAACTCTTTGTGAACCTATAAGGCGAGATGAACCGGCCACTAAACATCGCTGGTGCTTAAAAACATCGGAAACCACGAATAGGAGAAAAACTATTCACTACATACGCAGAAACCACATAAAAGTGGAGTTATATGCAGCGTACATCTTACTTCGCCTGAAGAGCGGACTATGCTGGTGTCGCCATGGAAATCATGCAGTAAAGAAATCCCATCACACTTTATATCCAAAGAAGATGATGGGATGGAATGTCAGTCGCATTTCTGATATGCCTGCTAGTAAAGCATCTACGAGAGCGCAGTGATTCCATTCATTGCATGAACAACCCCACCCACTCCAGCCCTAGTTCGACCCCCAGGGTCGGAAAGTTGGCACCAGACTTGTATGGGGCAAGCCCATTCTATCCGATCGACACGGCAACGCTCTAGTAGACTATGTCTGGATTCCAGGGAGAACCGAGTCTTTCGGAATTCGACGACGGTTTTGACGAAGATGGAACTCGGGAAAGAACAAAAGAAAGAAAGAGGAAAACAGCAGTCGAAACCGGGCGCAAAAGAAGTTCGAAAAACTTCATAAAAGATGGATGCGAGGGAACGATTCGAATGCAAGAAGTGCTGCCATCGGCATTGTATGCCAAATGTGGTGTCGAGTCATGTAACAAAATGAGAAGAAAACAGCTACATTCGATAATAATTAACAGGTGCATAACAAATACACAAGAACAGAAAAATCTACAATCGTATTTGTCCCACAGTCATTAAGAATGTTTTCTTTTATAATATACACCAGAAAAAGGTTAGAAACCATGCAGAATGTTTGGCAAAACGAGATTCCTAGGCATCAAACCGAGTTTTACAACACGGGCTCCATCCCTTCCTTCAGTCCGAAAGCTCAGATACGTAAACAACACACTACGGATCATCTCCGTCGTCATGAGAGAAGGCAAACCACTTGCCGAAAATTTCGTCCCCGTAGGAAACAGGTGACTACGCCTGTTGGGATGATGTAGATATTTGTTTGTACAGCTCTCTCACAGTTTCGAGAGAAAAAAGAGAACTTCAACCAAAAGAATGTCAGCCAAACGCTAAATTTGCCGGTTGGGGCACAATCAATGTAGTATCTAGATGAAGATTAATCAACCGTACTTCGTTGATATAATTCATGCAGTAATACCCACAAAAATATGAACGATAGGCGTGTAGCCCATTAGTTGGGCGCCCTACAGTGCAAACATGGTCTTTGGCTCGTGCCAGCACTCCATGCCCATCAGGCACTTCATCCTTCCAAGGTCGTCAATATAGCATCAGACTTATCTGGGAGGTTAACATTGCTGATTTTATACATCGATAGGTTACCATAAGTTATTGCTTAGGCCAGATATGCACTCAGCTATCACGATACTTAATAAAGTCGAATGCATGCAGCACCCTCAAGGACTGATAAATGCCGAAAATTATCCTTTCATAATAAAGGATTTGTAAAAATGATTTGTATATCTTGTATAATTATATGATTTTATGAAGTGATCTTGCTGAACTGATGCGAGGTTGGTATAGTTGTTGTTGGTTGATGACTGACGTTTCGGCGATTTCGCCTTCCCCACAGCCATGTTGTTACGAATGGGACTCTTTTCGAGTCGACTTTCTTTTCGAGTGGGAAAAAAGCAAATCCCACTCGCAATAGTACGGTCTGAGGAAGGCGAAACCGCCAAAACGTCAGCCATCGACCAGCAACAACAACAACAACAACAACAACAACAACAACAACAACAACAACAACAACAACAACAACAACAACAACAACAACAACAATGACAGCAGCAACAACGACAACTTATATCAACCTCGCATCAGCTCAACAAGACCAGTTCATCAGAGCATATAAATAAATATATCAACTATTTATCCGCAGATTTATAGACACAGGCGGTATTTTGAATGATATGTACAATTTAGCATAAATGAACAAACGAAAATTCGCTGCAAATTAGCAAGTGATAACGAGCAAGCAATTTGTCACGATATTTCCCAGAATCAAAGCCGTGACGTATATTACAATTCGATTTCATAGATGTATTCAATCAGATACACTAAAGTCGAAGTTCGCAAACAAACTCAGGCGATCGGCATGTGATTCAACTGCGGTATACAGCTGTTCGATGGGCATCGTAAACAGATCATACAGATTCCTTACCTGAAATCAACAACCACTTATGATGGCTATGTCCTCAACAGAACAGTTACACAGAACAAGCGACAACGAACGAGTTATCGATGCTCAACTCATTGCAAATGTAAAGATTAATACAAAGTAAAGCATGAAAATAAATAAACGTCGACCCCTCTGAAGATTTCAAGAATTAAATCGGATGTCGATAACATAAAATAAGTGAATCAAACAAATCAAACCCGCTCTGTAAGAACTCAAAGCATTTTGTAAAAATATAGTTTTTAAAACGGCATCAACTCGTAGTGAGAGGCCACTATCAGCTTGAAATGTCGTATGTCCCACGGGTGACGCCTAAGGTGCTTCCTATTGAAGCTCATCAGACGTAATGAGCTGGATGAGAGCTACTCTTGTTCATCGAGGTACCGTATTAGCAATGTAAGAACCGACTCACTAATTGAACAGCTATCTAATGGACAACATCATCAGAATGGACGGATCATTTTCATTCAACCGGATGTTATTGGTGCTACGATGCCCACATCAAATAGGAATAATCTCCTTCTCAGGTGAGCACCCGGACAGAGTAATAGCGAGTTCGAAGGAGCCCTGATGTTCCGCGTTTTGCAAATATTTCAGCATCATTCCGGTTGTGTTTAACATAATATCCTGTCTTAACCCTTTTATTTACTGCCTTTTTCTTCTTAATGGCAAGGTATGTTGCGGAATATAACACGTATGAAATGCTGAGATATTCGCAAAACTCCGGACCACAGGTGTATGCAGTGGGGAACGAACACGCGCTGTTGTCCTCACCGGGGAGCAGCGCACTTCACCACTACACCATCCGGGTCCTTCGTCTTGCCTGTCTCTCAGCTAGTTCTATCGATCTTTTTTGCCATCAGCAATCACCCGTCAACGGGATTGATCTGGGGAGCCCAAATCGGCATTGAACCCAGTTAAGCTGAGGCTTAGTTATAATCACAATCTTAACCCTTTTATTTACAATGTCATACCTTTTTTATTTTCTGCCTACTATAATTTCGCGGCAGGGTACTAAGCGAAATACAACCACAACGGTGCTGAGATATTTGCAAAACTACGGACCACAGGTGTATGCAGTGGGGAACGAACGCGCTATTGTCCTTTCCGGGGAGTAAGGCGTTCACCACCACACCATGAGGGTCCTTCGTTTCGCTTGTCTCTCAGCTATTTCTATCGATCCATCAGCAAAAAAGATCGATAGAACTAGCTGAGAGACAGGCAGGACGAAGGACCCGGATGGTGTAGTGCTGAAGTGCGCTGCTCCCCGGTAAGGACAACAGCGCATGTTCGTTCCCCACTGCATACACCTGTGGTCCGGAGTTTTGCAAATATCTCAGCATTTCATACAAATGATATCCTGCCATGAAAAAAATAATAGGCAGTAAATAACAAGCCAATGGATAAACCTGCCAATCCCGTTCTCAATTTATACAACCGCTCAAAAAGAAATCAAGGCAGTAAAGTAAAGAAAATACAGCCTCAATCAAAACCATAACGATGATCAAACGCCGCCTTTGATCAAACATCCGAAGGTCCATTTTGGCCCATAAGGGTATAGATGGACCTTGCGTTCACCATGAATTATATAAAACAGGTTCGGAAACGCCTTTCCTTCACTCTGGAAGGGGAAAACAAGCTACTTGCAGAGATGTCCTTGAAAAACATCGGAGAAAAAGCCGCCATACTCCTGTGGGCCCCAAGTAGATCTCTACACCAGACATTTCGTTTGTAAGTATGTCATCAGAAGAAGATGATACTGAAAAACGTGAAAATGTAGGTTCATGACGAACAATTTCCGTGTTGCGGACAACATTTCCTTATAGATTCCAGCACATACCAAACATGGTGAAGACGCTTTTCACGAAAGCAGTAATTTGTTCGTCAAGCCTCCATTCAAATTCATGCTCTACGTCGATCTCAGCAGAAATATCAACACGGTGGTTTAGATGAGAGATGAAGAAACTAAAGTATGAAAGAACCCGCATGACTATGCGAAATTTCAAACGATAAAGAAGACTTCGGAAAACGTGCTAATCAGATTTCTTCATAAAGCCGTTGATGTCAAAACAGAACGCCCGTCGAATTGCACAGTCGGATAGATTAGAGACCAACCTTCTGACTGAGCATCATCGACTGCACATCTCCTCTAGACATGCCAGGCAGGTGTTGTCCCATGTGTCGAAGCAAAATTGCATTCGGTTTACGTGGCTTGTCTGAGCTTGTACGCGCATCAGCTTCTAAATCTCCTAATTCTAACACTTAATAAATATTCCAAATAGGAAGTCTTTTCCAAATGGATCAAATAACAATAAGACGAATATAAACAGTATGTAGACACTAAATTTAAGTGGTAATAGAGGAAATATGAATACTTAGAAATATAGCTCACTTATATCTTTAACACTGGTGACTTCATCGCTCTTCAGAGAAACAGCATGGTCAGCGTCTGGTTCCGGACGATTCAGCTGAAAAAGTATAAAGATGGTGTGAACATTTATCCAACTTTCTCATGCAATATGCTAACTGTTACGCATAAGCAGGAAGTTTACGGAATTTTTATGGGTTCGAATCGAATGTTCGTCTAATTTCTGATAAAACAATAAAATAAAAAGGATGAAAACTCGGCGTTGATCAATCGCTGAGGGACGGGCCATGCATTAGACTACGTTAAGCATCGTTGGAGGCAACTGAAACTGAATGGATATCTGGCCTTTACAATGGTTTGCGGTGACCTACCGACGTACCGAGCCAGTGCTGCTATCATCCCAGACAAGTCTGGTACCAATTCGCCGACCCTGGAGGGATGGAGAGCTTGGTGGGCTTGGCGCGCGGTGATCGATCCCATGTGCACTGCAAGACTCCTCTGACCAACGCACTACACGTGCCCCTAATTTCTGACAACGTGAGAAAACATCGCCCGAGAAGTCATCAAAGGAAAAACTTTTGCAGAGTTTTGAGTGAAAAAGCGAAGAATTAGCAACCTTGAGTTCGGCAAAATACTCTGCTGAATTGGCTGGTGAAAGTGACCAGATGAGCTTCAACTTAGGTGTCGACCTCAGTAGCGAACACAACAAAGCACGAACTTCACGACAATGACGACTGAGTTCCCCCTAAATTCAGAGCATAGGGTAACCTTCCTCATAAAATAAAGCTCGTCATCTTCACAACAAACGAAATCTAGAGAAGCTGCAAGTTAGAAATCCAATCGAAACATCCAGAAATGTGTACCTGAAATGGCCCCCCGTTGACGATTTTTGACTCGAATTTCCGATTTGATTCTATAAGAAGTATTGAGTTGGTGTAGTGACGCAGCATCTGCATGTAACAAATGTTAGTTTGCGAATCTGTGTCTCTTTAGTCTTTTTCTTTTGAAGAAAAAAGTGAAATTAACACTGAATGCTTTAAGCTGCTGTGTAAACTAACTAAACCAAACGGATAAATGGCTAAGAGAGATTTCGTACCTGCTCCGACTGCTTGAATACACGTCCAGATTGCAGCGATTGAGCGAGATCATCAAGTGCTTTTCGTTCCACTGCAATTGCAGGAGAGAGCACATAGTCTGCCACCTGTTGATTAAATCCGCCATAAACGAAAAGCACTCTCACATCTTCAGTGTGCAGTTCATCATACAGTGGTTTTATGGGAAGAGTACACGCAGAGGTGTAGCATTAAAGGCGAGTAAGCGTAGCAGTGTTACTCTCGATCAAACGGGGTTGTCGATATGGGATTCACAAGATAACCTAAGATTTCTACTCATACGCTTATCACACATAGGAATAAAAGAATAAGTCTCTCAGCGTTGATCAATCGTTGAGGAATGAGCCACATATTCGGCTTTAATAAGCATCGTTGGAGGTGATTGAATGCATATCCGGCCATTACAATAACTCGCGATGGCCTATCGATGTATCGAGCTAGTGATTCTATTCTCGCAGAGAAGTCTGGTATAACCAATATGCAGACCACAGAGGGATGAAAGGTTTCGTGAGTCTGGGGTATGGGGTTCGATCCCATGTGTTTTGCAGGGCGTCTCTGAGCACTACGCTACACGCGATATAGATGCCTATCGCACATAGTCGCGTTAACCAACCAGTTACTCGATAAGTACTAATTTCTAATCTGTCTAAAGTTTCTAATCTTTTCACGTCTCAGAGCTGTCCAATGTGTTCAACTTTCTACGGTGACAAGAGCGTTATAGATTGAAATATGGCCCTCTATATGTGGTGTTTATGAGGACAAAGGTAAATAATCACGGGTAACGGACTCATCGAGCCCAGTATTAACTTGCTCTTAGGTAGATTTCGGGATGGGAATGTGGAGACCCTCTCAGTTTGAGGGGACCTTGCCGAGGATGAATCCCCGCAGTGTAATCGCATTTCGATACCGGGAATTCACAATGACGTGGTACAGCACTGGTGGCAAGCCTTCAATTGCTTGGCGCGTCCTATAAACAATAATCAGTTTACAGAACGATCCTTACAAGTCAAACAAGTGCCAGAGCCAAACTGTTTGCCCGGTAGCTTTACAAAATGTACCAAAGCTTGGCCACGAACCGCTGAAATCGGTGAAGACCAGAAATAAGTAATGTTTTTTTTAGACCTTCTGATATAATACTTGGATGGCCAATCTTCACTGGTTGTGTGGACCCCCGCATAAGTTGCATTTTTTTCCACAGTTTTGCTGGTCTAGCTATTGTGGTTCCCTAGAGCGCCCATGTCAGCGTAGCCAAAATCTGCCTGACATCGTCACCACCACACGCAGTCGCCGCACTTGTGAATCAGAGGGAGATTTGCCACCATGCGACTAGTTTGATACCAGGACGTTCGGTGGATCCTGGTATTGGCTTACTCAAAGCTAGCCTTCCTGATGGAAACGTTGTACTCCTTCTTCTGATGTATTACGCGCATCAAAGTAGGTTTATCGTTTAAATTCTGCCTCCTATAAGTGCTAAACCTAAGTAACAATTTGAATGTTGCGACGAAGCATCCCGAATGATTCAAATTCCTGACCTCAAGAGTGACGGCAACAACATCGTATCCTTTTTTATACAACACCGTAGGCAATTCGCTGTTGAATTCACGTACATCAACAATAATCTAAAATTCGAGAATTAAATTTTGCTACGAAACAAGTGCGCCTACAAATTGATTGTTAGGCATTTGAATAACAAGAAAGATGAGAAGTACTTAAGAACAATCGAAGTACTCAATGACTGAATATTTCAACAATTTTGCCGATATTTTTCTTGCACCAACGACAAAAACGACTATGTACAGTGAATAAAACATCTATGAGTTCTGTGAACATTTCGCCTCCGAAAGAGTTCAAGCACCATGAAGGTTTTGTCTCTTTGTCTCCCTTTTGCCATAGGATCCGACGGTGATTAGTCTCTCATTCTTCGCGGATGGGCGACGACCCAATAACCCAGTGAGGACCGAGCGTGAAAAACATGGAAAATTAGAGCTATTAACGAACGTGCTATTGACAACTTTGGAAAATGCCTAAAGCTCTCCTCAAGAAGAGGAGTTCCTAAGAATAAATTACCAAACTACACTCAACAATAATCGTGAAAGTTCCAAGATTAACCTTTTCACTCTAGCGTGAGCTTAAACGAGTTGTGAGAGAGAACGACTGCAGAGGAAAAGAATCTCCACTAAATGTTTTTTGAAAGGTAATAATAACTTTCCTACGACTTGGAATTGAGAAACAAGCAAAACCACTAACTACTCAGTGAGAAAAACACAGACATCTGAACCAGGCTTTCAGCATAAGAGAAATTCTAACTCATCTTAAGTTTAATTCGATGAAGATAAAAGAAAAACGTTTTGCATGAAGGGCCTCGGGAAACTTTCTGAGTGAGGTTTTTCTAGATTAAGAGTCGAAACTAGCCGTTAGAAGAGGAAAAGAGTTATGCACGAAGCACCTTTGGTCTCTCACATCTACTGGGTACTTGGCCAGCATCGTTTCCGGTGGGCATCTGAAGACGATCTACTTCTTCACGGTCCGTCTCATATCGCCTTGGAATCATCAGAGTCTAAGACAGTATTCATTACATTTCAACATGTTAGAACACCTGTAGAACTTTAAGTTCAGTTAAAATGCCTTCAGTAAAAAAAGCTTCATAGCATTTACAACCACTAGTACTTCCACTTCACAAACCGGCTAACTTGATTTATGACCACAATGTTTCACTTTACTGTCAATTATACAGCCAAATTTGAAGGATTGAAGAACCATAACGAAAATTATGAGCTAATAATTAACAGAAAGAGACTAAAAACTCACAGACTTCTCATTGAAAAGCGTCGTGAAAGCGTCTGTTTCATTTTTCAGCGCGGTCAAATATCGTGACTCCTCTGTGGATTCTCTATACATTATAGAGTAGATGTGAAGGAATAATTCAGAATGACATGCTTTGTACATCTGCAGGTTTAGAAAAGATCATTCGAGTGTAGAAAAAGAAAAGGCAGCTGTAGTACCTCAATATGTCTTAGTGTGGCGATATCTGTATTGTAGAGAATGATTACTGTAGGTTTCATTTCCTCGAGTTGACGTAAGATCGAGTAACGGTGACTGTAGGTCATAATCACCAATGGTACCTAAACGAGACCTAGGGTGTATTGAAAACTATGTATGTATACATACAATGTAAATGTATATGTATAAGCCTCCCAACAGTTTACCGCCTAATCGTGGCTGGAAGGTGTTCCGGAGTGTCAGTCTGCGGTGTACAGTGGCGGAATTCATGCCACCAACAGAGCGTTCCAAGCTGAGAAGCAGTTCGGAGTTTCTATCATGAAGCCCAGCTAAGAGTAAAACAATACCAGAATCCACCATCGTCCTGGTATTGAACTAGTCGCATGGTGGCAAATCTCCCTCTGATCCATAAAGACGGCGACTGACTGTTGTGGTGACGACCTGGGGAAAACCTTTGGCCTAGCCGACCTCGAGACTCCAGAGAACCACAATGGCTAAGCCAGCAAAACTCCGCAAAAATGGAAATTATGCTGGGGTCCGCACAACCAGTGAAGATGAGCCATCTAAGTATCCAAATAAGTAAATGCATATGTAATCTTTGAAAGTTCGCATTCTAGTTCTGTTCAAAAGTGCAGATTTGTATGCATAAACATTTGTAAGTGTATGAAAAAGTTTGAAAAATACATGTTTAGGAAAGCAGATGTTCAGAATCAATGTGTATCTTGTATATCCTCATAAATTTCAAGCACTTGCGCTCGCAAAAACATCGCTTGTAAAGTAACTTTCCAACTCTGATCGTTATGTGAGGTTAACACAGCGTTAGGTTACTGTTGCATACGTCTGTTAGCTAAATTCTAACAGTGAAAAGAATTTTCGATACATAAAAACCTTAAAAACGATCAACTGGACTCTGTATCACAACATGTTATAGACCCTCTGTGTGCATCAAAAACACGGGAGACCTGCCGTCACATGAAAGGAAATGCGGCTTCCATGATAAAGTTGTCCCTCATTGTTGCCAGCAGTACTCGGACAGGAAGTTGTACAAACAGCTACTATAAATTTGACCGATATCATCATGACGACAGTCATCTATTTTTCCAAACTTCAGAATGCGATCAAAATCATTCAAAAAGTGTCCGAAATACAACATCATTCTCCAGATGTATGACGACGCTCATTGGTCATGCCGCCAAGAAAACTCGTGAGATAACCTCAAAGCTTAAGCGGAAAGGCCAACGCTTTATCGAATGTTCTCAGCACTTCTAAAGACCAAACATAACTCAGAAATGACATCGAGTTTCGTTTCGTTACATAAACGCCAGAGTTCTGAGCAAAAGGCACTAAGTAGCTATTACATAGTTATGATGATTATAGTTCCCAGGATCGACTTTCTATTAACCTCGGCATTGGAATATGAATGTGTCCTTTTCTTGTTCAGCAATCGCGAGATTTTTAAACAGCAAACATTTACTTCTATAGAAAAACACAATACAATACAACAGCAGCTGACGTTTCGGCAGTATCCCCTTCTTCAGAGCCTGGAAGGGTACACTGATATACAATCTACTAGGCCAAACGCTTCAATAACACTTACACAAAGACGAAGAACTCTCCGGTAATTACATAATCGACAACTTCTCGAAAAACCCACCGCTTTTTCGTGACTTCCAATGAGGAGGTTTAGAATATCTGATTATAGTCGCATGTGGCTGACGACTGCACCATCCCACATCAAAAATCGATGCGAACGTACGGGATCAGGTCGCGTATGACCTCCGGGCATTCCTCCCTGCTATTCATTGTAGGGTTTTTGGCATTTATCCATTATTTAAGCCTCGAGAAGTTTTCGCGCTGGTGTTTTGGGCTCCTGTGCAAGGATATTGACTTTTACTTCAAAATCGTCTCCACTATGCTTTTGTATCCTATACGTGCCTAGTGGGGTGTTTCGTCTTAGTTTTCGTTTGCCATCAAGGTGTTCTTTTATGCGGATACACAAAGGTCTGCCCCTTTCGCCAATATATTCATCTCCGCAATTGTTACAAGAGATCAGGTATATCGTACCTGAACTCATGCAATCACCGTCTCTGCCGTAAGGGCAAATTACGCAATTTGTTGTTTCACATTGACGGCCATGCAGGCGGTTACGAACTAATTGACGACTTAGAGTAGCAGGTAGTATTTCAACTATCGCTACCGATTCCTCCAGACCTGCCCTTCTTAAGCATCGTTTTATAGCTACGCTTCATCGCTTATAAAAGGCAACATAAATGGGGTTTTCTTTTAGCCAAGTGTTTCGCGTGGGAGCATCGCTCTCCTTCTAAACTTATCTCGTGGGGTTACTATTTCGTAGCCATTGGAGATGACTATTTGCCGAGCCAAGTCGCGCGATTCTTCCTTTAGTTCCCTGGTAGTGCACACAGAGGTGGCTGTTCGAAACATGTTTCTCACAATCGCCCTCTTTGTGTGTGAAGGATGGGAAGAAAGGAAATGAACAAGAATGTTCTTGTTATTTGGCTTTCGATACCACTTTGTCAGGTAACCGCTACTTGATAGGTTTATTTGGACGTCCAAAAACGGAAGTCAGTTTTCTCTCGGTTTCTCCCGGGTGAACTTTATGCACTCGGACTGCTCGTTCAATAATTCAAAGCATTTGTCCATCTCCTCCTGCGTAGAGAAGACGACAAAACAATCGTCTACATATCTGCAGTAGAGTAGTGGCCGGAGATCGAGAACAGGGGCTTCTATCTTAGACATAAACACAATGGCAAGGCTTGGTGCCAATAGCTGTCCCATTGCCAACCCCCTTATTTGTGCGAAATATTTCCCAAACCATCTGAAAATCGAGCAGTGTAGGCACTCCTTTAAGAGAGCCATTAGCTGCTGGATGGGCAAGCCATGCATATTTATTCGACCTTCATGTTCAACAAGAAGTTCGAAGATGGCTTGCATTGCGGAGTAATTCGATACGTTGGTGTACAGTGCGGTAACGTCGAAAGACTCCATCACGTACGCGTTATTAGGAGACGCGCTACGTAGACGTTCTAGGAACATTTGGGTGTTTGTGAGGTGAGCTGGAATGTGGTTAAGTATCAGGCTTAAAAACCAGGTTATTCTATCTGTTGACCCGTCTACACCGCTGATGATCGGTCTAACCTTAAATGATGACGGATTGGTTGACGAATGATCATCAGGTGATACCAACTTATGTGTTTTAATAAGTAGGTATAGGACGGGACATGTTGGTCTATCGATTTTAAAGTGCGAAATAATCGATGATTTTAAATCCGCAGCCTTTGCCACGCTGACCCATTGATTGTTTAGTTTTCGGTATTGACTTTTACATTCCTTTTCAGAGGATGGGCGATAGAGAGTAGCATCACTAAGATGTTCCTCTGTTATCTCAACATCCAGCTGGCGAGGGATAACTACGAACTCTCCCACCTTATCACTAACAGACAATCTTATTGTCTAGGATTGTCTAGGATAGGATAAACACCACCGGCTACTCTACGTCGCCAATTAGTTCGCAACCGCCTGTATGACCGTCTGTGTGAAACAACAAATTGCGTAATTTGCCCTTACGGCAGGGACGGTGATTGCATGAGTTCAGGTACGATATACCTGATCTCTTGTAACAATTGCGGAGNGATTGGTTGACGAATGATCATCAGGTGATACCAACTTATGTGTTTTAATAAGTAGGTATAGGACGGGACATGTTGGTCTATCGATTTTAAAGTGCGAAATAATCGATGATTTTAAATCCGCAGCCTTTGCCACGCTGACCCATTGATTGTTTAGTTTTCGGTATTGACTTTTACATTCCTTTTCAGAGGATGGGCGATAGAGAGTAGCATCACTAAGATGTTCCTCTGTTATCTCAACATCCAGCTGGCGAGGGATAACTACGAACTCTCCCACCTTATCACTAACAGACAATCTTATTGTCTAGGATTGTCTAGGATAGGATAAACACCACCGGCTACTCTACGTCGCCAATTAGTTCGCAACCGCCTGTATGACCGTCTGTGTGAAACAACAAATTGCGTAATTTGCCCTTACGGCAGGGACGGNGATTGCATGAGTTCAGGTACGATATACCTGATCTCTTGTAACAATTGCGGAGATGAATATATTGGCGAAACGGGCAGACCTTTGTGTATCCGTATAAAAGAACACCTAGATGGCGAACGAAAACTAAGACGAAGCACCCCACTAGGCACGCATAGGATACAAAAGCATAACGGAGACGATTTTAAAGTAAAAGTCAATATCCTTGCATAGGAGTCCAAAACACCAGCGCGAAAACTTCTTGAGGCTTTTTGGATAAATGCCAAAAACCCTACAATGAATAGCAGGGACGAATGCCCGGAGGTCATACGCGACCTGACCCCGTATGTTCGCATCAATTTCTGATGTGGGATGGTGTAGTCGTCAACCACAAGCGACTATAATCAGCTGTTCTAAACTTCCTGATTGGAAGTCTCGTAAAAGCAGTGAGTTTTTCAAGAAGCTGTTGATCGTGTAATTACCAAAGAGTCTTTCGTCTTTTTGTAAGTGTTATTGAAGCGTTTGGCCTAGTAGATTGTATATCAGTATACCCTTTCAGGCTCTGAAGAAGGAGATACTGCCGAAACGTCAGCTAGCGTTGTATTGTATTGTTTTTCTATGGAAGTAAATGTATGCTGTTTAAAAATCTCGCGATTGCTGAACAAGAAAACGACACATTCATATGATGATTATAATGTAAACTGACGTTGCCTTCCAGTAAAGCTGCAGTTTTTTTTAAAAACCTCATCATACAAAGCGAGCTTCACCAGTGTAAACAAAAAACGTTAGAATTTGCAGATTTCTGTCAATACGATCCATATTTTCTTTCTATAGAACGATGAAATTCTCATAATATGGAGCCGACAAGGGTCGTTACTTTTACTCTTTTCGTTGAAGATCACATTTCAAAAACGAAACGAACTGAAAGCGATTGGACAACCAAGACCCAGTAGGATAAGATGATGTCTCCCGATGCAACATTGATATTCGGTGCTGTCAAACATGCGTGGACTATCTCTAAAATTATTAAAACTACGCCATAGGCATCTTGAGA